GCCGCGCTTCCTGGGCCCGGCGCGGGCCGTGCCATTGCCCGAGCTCGGCTCCTCCCAGGCCGCCGCCGCCGCCTTCTTCCTGGGCATGGTCGCGCTGGAGGAGACACGGGGCAGCGGCGCACAATGGACGGGTTATAAACTGCGCGGGGGGAGGGGAGCGCAGCCGAGCCACCGGCCTCCACTTCCTCCCCTGCCCTCCCCAAAGTGGCGGCCGCGGGGTGGGCGGAGAGGGGGCGAGCCGGGAGGAAATCGCGCCACTCCCGGGCCCCGGCGCCGCTCCTCCGGGGAATCCCGCACGGGAGCCCGGGTCCCCGACTGTAACCCCCCGAGGGAAAGAAGGAAAAAATGGAGACCCCCGGCCCATCCTCAAGTTAGGTTTGCCTGCATCGCATCAGTGCCACCCTGCTCCCCAAAAAAGTAAAGGGAGAGAAAGGGAGCCGCCGATCCCCCCAGGTTTTAACGAGAGAGGGCTTCGGGACACTTCAGAGCTCCCCCTTGGGCACCTCGGGCGGGGAAGGAGCGCTTCCCCCTCCCCGCTGCCCCACCTGCTGCTTTTGTCTCCGCGCCCCCTCCCCGAGCCCACTCAGTTAAACGCGGCGTCCTCCCCAGCCCGCCGCCGGGGCACCCCACGCCGCCCAGCCTCGGGCTCCCGACCTCGGGTCCAATTAGCCGAATTCCCTGGGGTGTGATGCCCCGGCCGAGGTCGGGGGGAGGGGGGCCGATAAAACCGGCCCCGACCCCAAACACCTGCTCGCACAGACTCGAAAAAATAAAAACTTTAATGGTGCTCAACTCTCCCTCAGCCCTCCCGATCGTGCGGCCGGCCGGTCCCTCGGGCCCCGGCCGCCTAGTGCCCGCGCCGCCGCTACTCTCCCCGGCGTCCCTGCGCTTTCGCCCTATCTGCCTTTTTTTTTTTTTTTTTTATTGAATTTGAACAATGGGATCGAGGTGTGTCTCCGATTCAGCCGTGTGGACCTGCGTTCCTTCCCCTTTTTATTCATTCAATCCCCCCACCCCCCCTTCCCTAGGGTTTTTGTTTTTTTACCTTTTCTCCTTTAAAAAAAAAAAAAAA